TTCTTCAAGACAGACTTGAGTTTAAGTTGACACATTTGAAGAGTTTCTGAATTAAAAACTGAGATGATTAGTCTACTATGGTCTATACATTGCCAACAACTTATATCCATTTATTTGCATCTTAATAACTTTTGTTTAAATCTCATTAGATGTTTGTGTAGCATATGAGTTATACTTTTGAATTTCACCAAACCTGCTCTGTTTAATTAAATGTCGATTCATTAAATGTTGGATTTTTGACAATAATAAGAGTGACACCACGAAATCAAGCGTGGGGATGGTACTGGCTGCGAAGCATTGCGCCTTCAAATACAACCATGTATAGGGGAGTGTTGTTGTTATGGGTATTGTTATAGTTAGGGAAGAGTATCCCCAGTTCTCTGTTTATGTATATACCTGTGTCTGTTGTTTTATAGAATGGTTGTATTGAACCATCATTACCATCTGTTGCACAGGTACTGGACAGCTATTTAATTTGACTTATTTTGTCCGATAAATAAACACTGTGAAATGTATTTATCACCCCCCAACAGCACTTTTGAATGTATGTCTGCATGGCTGGAGATAAGTCACTGGCATGTTGCTCTCACGTAATGAAAATTTATTAAGACCTTAAGCTGCAATTTGGAACATAGCTGACTTGCTGCATTTTCGTCTGTTGTTAACGAACTTGTTGGGCATAAGTTTTGTAGAGGACGGAGTTTGCTAATTTAAGTTTTTTAATGTGTTTTAGCTCGAAGATGCAGCTGTAACACTAGCATGCCAAGCTAGCCTGGTCGCTAGTGGCAGGTGAAAGGAATCGCTGCGGTATTCAATTAGAGCGATTAGAGCATGCTGTAGGTATTACAGGTACTGTGCTGCAGTGGTTTGTATCATATCTATCTAATAGACTCCAATTTGTACATGTAACCAATTAGTTAAACTGCAGGAATGTCTTAAAGACATAAAGACCTGGTTGGCCGCTAACGTTCTGCTTCTTAATTCAGATAAAACTGAGGTTATTGTACTCGGCGCTGAAAAGCTTAGAAATATGGTATCTAACCAGATTCTTACTCTGGATGGCATTACCTTGGCCTCCAGTAACACTGTGAGGTACCGTGAAGTCATTTTTGACCAGGACATGTCCTTCAATGCACATATTAAAAAATATGTAAGACTGCTTTCTTCCATTTGCACAACATCTCTAAAATTAGAAATATCCTGTCTCAGAGCATTGCTGAAAAACTAGTTCATGCATTTATTACTTCCAGGCTGGTCTACTGTAATTCATTATTATCAGGATGTCCAAAAAACTCCCTGAAAAGCCTTCAGATAATCCAAAATTCTGCAGCAAGAGTACTGACAGGGACTAGAAAGAGACAGCAGATTTCTCCTGTATTGGGTTCGCTTCATTGGCTTCCTGTTAAATCCAAAATTGAATTCAAATTCCTGCTCCTCACATACAAGATCTTAAATAATCAGGCCCCATCTTATCTTAATGACCTTGTAGTGTCATATCACCCTATTACAGCACTTTGCTCTCGCACTGCAGGCCTACTTGTTGTTCCTAGGGTATTTAAAAGTAGAATGGGAGGGAGAGCCTTCAGTTTTCAGGTTTTTCTCTGTATTTATTAATGTAGGGTCATCTTACAATATAAAGCGCCTTGAGGTGACTGTTGTTGGGATTTGGAGCTGTATAAATAAAATTGAATTGAATATGAACCATCCTCACACGTCATCTATAGCTCTGTCACCATCGAGCGATCTAGTGAACTAAACCAACCAGGTGTTCATTCAATAGAGCTCAGACTTTAGTCATACTGCAGAGGTACAGAGAAACCAGAGCTCTGATTAGTCACATCAGGCTTAATTGTAACGGCCCTATAGGCATTTCCGGAGACCAATTAATGAATTCTTACCTTTTGATGAAAGTGATGAAGCTGCATGGGCAGAAGGACTTCCTGTTGGAGGAAAGTTCACCTTGAGTAATAAATTGGTCTTCAAAAAAATGTAACTATGACATTTGTACTCAATTATTTGAGAAGGAAAGACAAAATACAAAGTCAGACTAAAACACTTAAATACATTTATAAAATAAGTAATGACAACATCACATCCAAGATGTAACGCACTGCGAATGGATGCCCCGGTACTTCAGTGCGTTACATCTGTCATGTTTTTGTGCATAATTTGTGTGTCTGGACACTCTGGATATTCTTCAGAGAAGAGCTTCTTATCTACAGGACTAAAACACCTTTGGTTTTCTTCCAGGATTTGTCGCATCTGCAATGGATTTACTACAGATTTTTGGCTGCTTCTAACAGCTTGGATGGGTTTAGGGACACGGGACTGCTACAGAGTATAGCTTCAGTAAAGACGTGGGCACTGTTAAACATCAGCACTCTGAGAAGATGCAGCAGCAGATCTCAGAGAACGACTCGGCCTCTGTATGGAAAATTTTTTGGAATATCACCAACTACAAGCGTAAGATCCTCCACTCCACTGACGACTTGCTCTTGGCTAACACCCTTAATGACTTTTACTGCCGTTTTGACGAGCCATCAAGCAGCCTTCACACCTCCAACGGCCCCACAATAGAGACACTTTGGACACTCATTCCCTCAGCCTTCAGATGTCCACCACGTCATTCAGCAGCATCTGGACTCCCCTGGGAACCTACGCCAGGATCATGTCTGTGGACTTCAGCTCTGCCTTCAACAATATCCTCCCAGACCATCTCCAAGGCAAACTTTCCCAGATGAATGTGCCTGATCCTGGCTGTATCCCAATTCAGGGTCTGCAGCCTTAAAGTGTGCAGCCTTAACGGTCCACAAGGGCCGTGTACTCAAAGACCGCTAAGGCCGGAAGTGAGAGACTTGTGAAATGGGACGGTCTAGCCTCCGTCACACTGCCCAGGTTGGAAACGTTTCATACAGCTTTATTTGACAGAAATGAAGGAGAAAATATTTTGTTCATTTGTTTGTTTGTTTCTACATGAGCTTTGATTTGATAAGTATCTGAGGCTGAGACCACCGGACTGTGAAATCATGATTATTGGGCTTCATTTCTGTACTGAAGAGTCGTTTTAAGATTAGCTAGTAAATAAGAATTACCTAATGTTGTTCATGAAAAGTCATCTTACTTTGGTAATGTAAATATAATATGGCCAATATTAAAGTTATTATTTCAATCATTATTAGTAATTACAGCAGTGAATGATCTCTGTTTCAAATACTGAGCTTCAGTAAAGAGTCAAGCTGCATTTATTTATATTTCCTGTCACTTTAAATCTTTACTCAAAGACAGGTTCCTTTGACACTGTATATATATTATGTATAATAGACAAATATTGTTCTTTTAATATTTTGGCATTACTAAATTTCTCTCAATGCTTACTTTTAACATCCATGGAATCATCACATTCTCTGTAAGATTAAGGTCAACTATTTAACGGCGTATATTTTGAAGTAAAGGCTTTAAAACCAAGCTGATGCTGAAAGTACAAACACCACTAATGTCACATAACTTAGCAGACAAGTGGCCAACAGTGATGTTTTAATGTTCTTAATTATTAAACATTTGCACATAAATAAGTGACATAATATTCAGTACTTACTTTTAAAAGTTTACTCTTCGGGTGCCCTTCGTCTGCCTTTGTTTTTTTTTTCGGCAAAGTCATCCATGCCACCGCCGCACTATGCATTCTGGGATATGTTGGGCCAGGAAATTCAGGAAAATGAAGGACGCATTTGAGGGCCGCATTTCGAGCAGCCTTTGAATTGAATTATTGTGGACTTCAGGAAGCACACAGACCCACTCCCCCCATAATGCTGACTGACACCCTCATCACCACAGTGGACTCATTCCACCTCCTGGGTACCACCATCACCAGGACCTCAAGTGGGAGCCCACTATCACCTCTAGGGATAGGAGTTGAGAACCGGTTCCCACTGTTTCAATTCCTTGGAATTGTTTGCCATTTTTGCAAACGATTCCCTTATCGATTCCAGTCGCCTCGAATGACGTCACCACGTTGCGTAGCATCTTTTACCCAGTAGGAAACATGGCACCTAAGCGGCACAAACGCTCAAAAGTTTGGTTACACTTTATGAGAAAGGATGACAACAGGGCAACATGCAATACTTGCAAAGTAGATATTTCATTTAAGGGGGGACACACCTCGAATATGCAAAAGTATTTGCTCACAAAACATGGGATGGCTTTAAATGAATATCATGTTTTTGATCCGCTCCGGACTAGCGAAGCTCAACCCAGCAGCAGCGGTAGCGTTTGCATGTCCTCTCCTGTTAATACTGCAGGTAACTAAGCAACTAGCATTGCATATTATGTTAGCAGGATTTGCTTTATTACAAAACCTGCTATTACTATGAATTGCATTTAGGTGACCATGACAAGAGAGACAGAAAGAGTCTGGTTGGCTCAGATGCTGGCAGTTCTCGCTGCAGTCTACAGTTAGCTTCTCCTTTCACAGAGGCAGGGAAAAGTAAAATGACCCAGGCCAGGATAGACGAATGTCACCGAGTAGTGACTAAGTTTGTGGTAAAAGGCTTGCACCCATTTGCCACAGCAGATGCCCCCGAGTTTCGGTAAGTGAATGTGTAATTGTAGCCTAAGTCAGGGAATGTCAATGTTGCATGTTCTCCTCTTACCAGATGTTTCATCCGTTTCCATTGCTATATCTTTTAGAGAAATGATAAAGACTGATCCCTAAGTACAAAGCCCCAAACAGAGACAGTTTAACCAACCACTTGATCCCTGCTTGGTATGCAGTCAAAAAGGCAAATGTGATTTCTCAGCTGAAACATGTGTTGAAGGCAGCCATCACTGCAGATGGATGGACAAGTTTTAGTCAAGATCATTACCTCACAGTAACGCTGCATTATGTCAGGAATGGCCAGACTCATGAAAAAGTCCTCAAAACCAAGCCAGTGTACCAGGCACAGACAGGGACAGCTGTAGCAGAGGAGATTGATGAGATCTTGGAGGAGTATGGTATCAAAGACAAGGTTGTGGCAGCCACTGTTGATAATGCAGCCAACATGGATGTAGCTGTCAAAAAGCTACAAATTCTCAAGTTTCCATGCTTTGCATACACCCTGAGCCTTGGAGCTCAGAAGCTCTACAACTGTCCTGCCATTTCCAACTGGGCGGCAAGAATTCGCTCTGTGATTGTATGGATGAAGAGGTCCCACATGGCGAAAGTGGTCCTGAAGGAGATGCAAGAGTTGCTCAGTAAGCATAGTAAATAGTTTTTTTGAAGATTGTGTATATTATAATCATTAGATCATGATCAAATTAAATTTATAAACTAAGATAAGGAATATTACATTAGCATTTAAGTTGTGAATGCGTTACCCCTCAGAGCTGCTCAAGCATATGCTGCTCCTAGATGTAAAGACCAGATGGAACTCTCTGTATCTGATGATGAAGAGATTCTGCGAGCAGTTTCCTGCCATCCAGGCTGCAGCCATCGATCCACGGATAGAAAAGTCCATGGAAAAGGAAAGGTGAGTAGTATTGAAAAATAATGATAATAGGGCTTAATTTGGACTCAGGTTTTATTTTTGTTTGTTTTATGCAACATATCTGTTGTATTTTTGCTTTGTTGATATTGCAGGCTGGCTAAAATGAGCAATGATGACTTAAGAAAAGCAAAGGAGTTTGTGGTACTCATGCGGAAGCACTACACCTCCACACTAGCAGTCTCCAGTGACAAAAGTCCGACCTGTGGTGAGATTTTGCCCATCCTGCAAAAGCTACAGGTAAACTACACCTTACAAGAAGATGACTCTGCCTTCACAAGGAGCATAAAGGAGAACAGTTGGAAAGATCTTTCCAAACGATACCAGGTACAATTGATGATTTATTTATCCTAAATAAAATGACAGTTATAAATACTTAAGGTTAGTCATGATGTCACATGTTCCTCCCTCTTAAAAATTTAAGGACGCTGATATCAAGAGCTTCCTGGAGGAGGCCACCATCTTGGACCCCCAATTTAAATCCAAAGTGGATAAGGATGAAGTCTTACACAGGATCAGGGAAGCAGCAATTTCAGCAAAGACAGAGGCAGGAGCAGATGAGGTATTTCAATATGACGGTGTCTTTCACTGTAGCACATTTCCATTGTGAGAGTGAGACCCTTCATCTATGGATCTGTGTTACTTAGTTTGATTTGTTTGTTTATTTGTCACTTTCTACTGGAGCACCTGGAGCAAGGAGACACACAGGGAGAGTTGTTCGAAGATGACGATGAAGAAGACTATGTAAATTTAGTTCATTGTGATGATAATTTAAATGTCATGGATTGTTCATTTTTTGCTTAATTTTTTATCATTTCCATTTAATTTCAGGCACCATCAGTAAAGCAAAAAAACGGCCTTGGAGGAACTCTTTAAAGAGGAAGACAACGAGCTGCAGTCATTCCAACAATGGTAGTCCGTTCTTTCCCTGGCCCAGAGAGTGGATCAGGAGATCCAGCTGTATAGAAGCCTAACCCCCATCCCCTGCAAGGATAATGCCACCCTATGGTGGTGGAGCAAGAGAGAGACTCTGCCCCTGCTGGCTGCACTAGCTGAAAGGGTTCTGTGTGTGATGGCATCCTCCACCCCGTCTGAGAGGGTGTTCTCCACAGCTGGAGAGACCATAAGTCCAGAAAGAGCACGTATTCTTCCTGAAAAAGCAGATTTTTAATTCTCCATAGTTGATGGATGCATAATTGCACAGTGCACAGTTCCACTGGACTTGAGTTGATTGTATTTTTTGCTGGCTGATGGAGTTTTATTTTTGAGTGCCCAGCTCATATATAGTTTTAAAAAGGAGAGTGTAAATGTTACTGGACATTCTTGTGTAATTGCCACTAAATAAGTTATGTTATACTTTGTTATTGCTACAAAAGAATATTTATTTTACTATTATTTTATATTTACAACTTTTTCTTTCTGGGGACCTCGTGGCACCCCATCGAGGAGCCGTAGGCTGTGGATCTCTTAAGATCTCACTGTTGGGTTTGTAAGGTCATGCTACTCCTACATTTCTGTCTTGTTCAAAGAGAAGATATAAAACAAAGTTCAAAGCTAATCGACCTTTGTGCTCTCCTTTTTTAAAAATAAGAATTGATAAGAGAATCGATATAGAATCGAATCGTTAAACCAAATCGAAAATGGAATCGGAATCGTGAAAATCTTATCAATTCCCATCCCTAATTACCTCCGTCATAAAGAAGGCCCAGCAGAGGATGTACTTCCTGTGGCAGCTGAAGAAATTCAGCCTGCCAGCACGGACGATGATGCAATTCTACAGTGCAATCACCTCCTCCATCACCGTGTGGTACGCTGGAGCCACCATCAGGGACAAATAGAGACTGCAGCGTGTTGTGCGCTCTGCTGAGAAGGTGATTGGCTGCAGACTCCCATCTCTACAGGACCTGTACACCTCCAGGACACTGGGGCGTGCAGCTCGGATCACAGCTGACGCTTCTCACTCTGGACACCGTCTGTTTGACCTGCTCCCCTCAGGCAGGAGGCTCCGGTCCATTCGCACCAGAACCTCTCGCCATAAGAACAGATTCTTCCCCTCTGCTGTTGGACTCATGAACAATAACCATATGACTATTCACACCACTAACACATGACCCTACATTGTGTTCACTGCATCAATCCATCTTTGCACTGATAACCACCTGCGCACATGTATATATCAATCTGCTTAGCACTTTTTATTTTTATGTTTATTTAAGCGTGTTTATTTAAGTGCTGCAGCAATTTCTTAATGTTGTAAACCTGCTCAACATTTGGCAATAAAACCCTTTCTGATTCTGATTGTGTCAGCAGTGTTTGACGTTTTTTTTTCTCTTACTGACCTTCTTTCAGCCTCCCTAAAATTGACCTCGCCACCTCCATCACATTGTCTGAATACACCTGCACCATCACTTCTACTGTTTTCAGTTTGTTTGCGTTCTCCAGCTGGAACTTAGGGAAGTCAGCTCCAGGTTCATACTGCAGGTAAAAGTGGAAAAGCTTCAGCTCTTCTTCTCCCAATTTCTTCAACATTTCCAGCAGCCGCACAGGTGAGGGCTTCTCCATCTTAAACATGAAATCATGTGAACAGTCAGTCTCATTACATCTACTTTTTACTAATTTAATATATTTCACAGCAGATTACATGTTTGATTATTTAAGATTTACTTAGGATTGATTTTTTTTTCTGGATGGATTCTTCTGTGATGGGAATAACATCACAAACTGCATGATAAAGAATCAATAATGAGACCTTATGTCTGTGAAGGTTCTCAGGAGACCTGATACAATAACAACTGACCCCAAAACACCAAAGGATTGTTAAAAGAGAATTGTGCAGAACTAAGTGTAAGATGTAACTTTAACTCTAACACTGCTGTTAAAATGTAAATGAAATAAAAACTGATTGAACTGATCAAAGTGTCAACAGAATACAAAGAGAGCTTACAGACTTTAGAAAACTGTTTAAAATCAGCTGAGTGAATAAAAATGTAATATGAATTCAAATAAAGAAAATCAAAGCAGACGACACAAGAAAAAAGACTCAAATTAGGTCTGTGAAGGTCATTGTAGTTTAAGGAGCTTGGAAAGAAAAGCGTCTGGACTTTAAGTTGCTTGAAGACGTTTCACCTCTCATCCAAGAAGCTTCTTCAGTTCAAGGGTCAAATGGTGGAGAGTCCCAGATTTAAACCCAGTGGGAGTTTCCCACTGAGAGGGACAAAAGGTAATGCTAATGCTAAGGTAACGCTAATGATCCTCTACCTAATCACATGAGCCAAGGTGTGAAAACGGGTGTGGGTCACAATCAGCCAGGGTTTCAGTTTCCTAAGTTTAGATGGCCCTCAGTTAGCCTTATCAAGAGTTATTCTTTAGCCTGTTTAACATGAGGTTTCTAAATCCGGAATCTGGTACCAATGAATTCATTATAATAACAGTTATAATATAATTATCTGATGACAGGTTAACTCTGGTTCTTGGAGATATTCTCAAGCTCCTGTTGAATCTAATGAGCTAGTTCTCCTCTGTAAGAGCAGACAAACACACAGCTGAGCTTAAACTTTGGCCACTGAGGGCTACACTCACAGACTGGAGCTGATCACTCGCTCTAAAACACAAACACACAAGTTTCACACAAATCCCATTAACTCTGAATATCTTTCTTCTGGTTTCAGGTGGAAATGTCTCACGCTCATTAAACTATTCATCCTTGTCCATCCAGCAACACCTGAAACATCTGAAAGTTCCTCCCTACACTGTGTTTGAAGCAAAGCACAAAGGAGACGCCTGCTGGAGCAGCTGGAGTCCTACAGACACTCTTCACTACACAAACACCTCCTACAACATCCACCCTATACACTCTGACTGCTGTGTTTGTGGAAACACTCCAACACCCATTGCTTCACATATGAACATAGAAATGTGTGTGAAAAAGAGCTGAGCTGACATTAAACACGATGGAGGATTTACTCACAAACACTGAGTCACAACAACATTTAGACACATATTACCTCTCTGCAGGAGGACCACTGCCCTTTAACTTGTCACTCTGTAAGGACACATAGTTGGGTGGAGGTCCAGGTGGGTTCCTGTGAATAATTATGGAGCAGTGATGTGAGTGCTGAGCTGTGACATGGAGAAGAGTCATGGACAGTTAGAGATGGTCATCTCACCTCTGAGCTTTGGTCTGGCTCTCATGTTCCCCACACAGAGTGCTTTTAGAGGGAGGGATTCCCTCCTCTCTGTCCTCACACTGATCCATGCTGCTCAATTCACATCAGCTCACACACACTTTCTACCTTCACCTGCAGAGGAAACACAAATCATTCATGTGCACATTAACTGAAATCCTCCTTTCCATCATGTGTGCTGTCCAAATATCAGCTGCTTCTTTCCTGCTTCATCTCAGTGTCAGCTGAGAGAATGACAAACCCACAATGTGTCCACATTTGATGGATGATGACACAGAAATGTGAAATGATATTGACCTAAATCTGTCTTAATGATAATGAGAAGCTTTGATGAGTTGTGACTGTCTGAGGTGTTACTGGGATGTTGAAACACTAGGGCTCAGCCAAGCCCTGAAATCTTTGCTATTTTCACCTGATAACAGCAGCTGTTTAAAGTTATTGAGTGTATTTGACAGTAAAGTGAATGTAAATGTGAGACACTGTGTGCTCACATAAGGCTGCAGTCAGCTGTGTTAGAGCATCTTTCACACAATGATCCTTTAATAAACACTCAGCACTCCATGTTGATGAAGCAGTCATGTGTGAGCTTGTGTGCTGACATGCTGACAGTGTGACCTCACCTTTTACAGGCTTCCTGTTTCATATTACACTTCCTCCTCACAGTCGGACTCATTTCACAGCTGCAACTACATTTCCTGTATGAGGAGAGCCAACAATCTGTTTACATGTCATTTCTAAGTTACAGCTGGAATAAAAAAAATCATTTACAAAGTCTGCTGCTCTCTCTGTAACCATCTGACCATCAACTAACTCTGTGCTGCTGCTCTCATTCACAAAGTGATCAAATGGTAGGTATGGCAGTGGGCAGCTACCAATCCAGGTACCTTGTACCCTGAGGGTAGCCATTTGTTAGATTGACCACTCTACCTACTGAACTATCCCATAAAACATTACACACTGACTTTAATTGAGAGACCGAAATACAAACACACAGTTTGTTGTGTGAAGAAATCAAACATGAGCTGAACAAACAGTAAAGTTCCTAAAGACAAACTGTTAAAGGAGGAAAAGAAGCAAACTTACAGTTTCTTCACACACCAACAACAAGCTCCACTCCACAAAGTTCAGGAAAGACGAACTTTAGGAAAGAAGGGAACACCCAGAGAGGCGTTTGAGGACACTCAGCAGAATGAAACACTGTGTGCTACGTTCAGGTGCACCTCAAAATTCCCAACTCTCTGGCAGGTTGTGATTTATTTCCAGTGTTGGGGAGTAACGGAATACATGTACCGCCGTTACGTATTTAAAATACAAAATATGAGTAACTGTATTCCGTTACAGTTACCGTTTAAAAAGGTGGTATTTAGAATACAGTTACTTTGTTGAAATAAATGGATTACACGGCGGTACTTCCCTGTTTCATATTGTGGCGGGTCAGGACTGTTTGGGTTTTGTTTGACAGCTACGTTCTGTTGTTCCAGGTGGCAGCGTTACGGTTGCCATGGTTACAGGGTGACGCTCTCTCTCTTCGTGTTTCCTGGGTGAGAGAGCGCCTGTTGTTGTTGTGCTAAGCTAATAGGCAGAATGCTACAGGTATAGCGCTAAAGAATGTAGCATCATAGGCAGTGTAGTCCGTGCTGCAGGGAGAATGGACTGCCATGCCCGTTATGTGTCTGTGAGCGAGGGAGGGAGAAAAAGGAAAAGTACGAGCTGTCATCAAGCAAAAACGGGAGCTGGAAGCATGTAAATATAATAATAACCACTGCAGCCAAGAAGAGTGCCTGACCAGCCCAGTTGTAAGTAAGCTATTAAGACTCGACTGTACACCGTGTTCGTGTTTTCCTCCAAAAACAATAAGTTCCTTTGGAGCAGCCTTTCAACGCCTCTCTCTGTCTGTCGCTAGCAAACTTGACCCAGACAACAAAGTAAAGCTAGTTTTCAGCTACGAGCCCGACACGAACCCGACGTGTTAGCCAGAGGTCCCTTTACTACGGTTCGGAGCCGCAGACCTTGAGTAACAGTAATAAATCACAGCAATAGTACATTCATGTAGTTGTAAAAAGCATGATAATATATTAAGTAATCCAAAGTATTCAGAATACGTTACTCTCATTGAGTAACGTAACGGAATACGTTACAGAATACATTTTGGGGCATGTATTCTGTAATCTGTAATGGAATACATTTTAAAAGTAACCTTCCCAACACTGTTTATTTCTGCTCGTTTTCCTGTTTGAAACAGAGGATGGCTCAAAGCTTGGCTCCACTGTTTTATTCAAATAAAAAAAATCTACATTTATTTAGAAGCACATTTAAAAACAACACAGGTTGAGCCAAAGTGCTGTACATAGTAGAGATAAAATAGTAAACATACACAGTAATTACTATAAAAGACTTGTTATAATTGAAAGCTAGAGAGTACACTGCCCATGAAGCTACATTCTTTAGGGCCATGCCTGTAGCATTCTGCCTATTGCCTTCACATTAAATAATTGTTTGAATAATAATTTTAAAAAATAAGCCTTCACATCATTATGCGGGCCGCAAGGAAAGGTGACATGGGCCGCGAGATTCGTGCTGCAGGGAGAATGGACTGCCATACCCATTATGTGTCTGTGAGAGAGGGAGGGAGAAAAAGAAGAGTAGAAAAGTACGAGTTTTCACCAACCAGAAACAGGAGATGGAAGCATGTAAATATAATAATAACCACTGCAGCCAAGAGGAGTGCTTGACGAGCCCAGTTGTAAGTAAGCTATTAAGACTCGACTGTACACTGTGTTCATGTTTTCCTCTGAAACAATAAGTTCTGTTGGAGCAGCCTTTCAACACCTCTCTCTGTTTCTTGCTAGCAAAGTTGACCCAGACAACTTAGTAAAGCTAGTTTCCAGCTACGAGCCCGACACGGAACCTGACGTATTAGCCAGAGGTCCCTTTACTACGGTTAGGAGCCGCGGACCAGTTTTATATACGCATGGAATAGTTTTCTATACGGGATCGCTGCAAAAAGTGAAGCCTTACCTAATGTCCACCCTACTGTTACTCATTTCGTATTAAGATTTAAACATCTAATTGGTATGGCGAGTAACCTTCAGTAATAGTAATAAATCACACAGCAATAGTATATTCATGTAGTTGTAAAAAGCATGATAATATTAAGTTATCCAAAGTATTCTGTTACGTTACTCTCCCTGAGTAACGTAACAGAATACATTGCAAAATATATTTTGGGGCATGTATTCTCTAATCTGTAGTGGAATACACTTTAAAAGTAACCATCCCGACACTGTGAAGATGTGAATCCAGGAGCAGTGGGTGGATGGCAGCATCACTATGAAGGATCAGTGTGAAAATACATCAACATCCACAAAGAAAACCAGTTGCAGCTTGTGGCTGCAGTTAGCTGGTTTGCTACTTAGCGTGGAGTAAACTCAGTAGAACATAGAATGCTAAACTGTCTAAATGAGGGGTGTCAAACATATGGCCTGTCATATTACAATTAAAATATATAATTCTGATTTTCAGCCCCAAACATCGTGTCCATGTACATGTTGTCGGGTGTGAGAATATTTGTGTTGTGTGCTGTGGATTCAACTCTGCAGACTCCTCACTATTTTTCTCATCAAATTTCTACTTAGACAATGTGATGGACCAAGTTGAAAAACAGGAGGAGTCCCAGGAATTATTAGGAAAACATAGTTTTCATTTATTTAACCCCCAAAAATTATATGTACAAAAGTAATAAATGTTGAGCTCATAAAAGAGGTCAAAGAAACAAAACTGAACTCAGGCAAAGACTGCAAACTTAACAAACCAAATGAGTGCCCAAACAAACATAATTGACCTAAAACATGAAATGACATACAAGGGTATATAATGGCTGATCAGACCATTGTGACACATGAGGGGTAACAAACAAACACAATCATAAATCACAACACAATGCAGTACAATCTAGTTTGTTAATACACTAAACACCAAAGAAGAAAATCTAAACCCATTAAACCCTAAACTCAAATATTTAATTAAATACAAATACTTTGTTTTTAAATTGAAGAAAACACACATTCTCCCCTTCAGTAGGAAGTGGTGGTGTGATCCCCCTTTGCATTTAATGGTTTCAAACCCTGGCTACCATCTTTTGTCCAGCAACTCCCAGGGATGATGGCAGGTAAGGAATAAAAAGACAAAGGTTAGTCAAAAATCAAAGTAATGAAGTGGTATGAATATATAAGTAAACTAAATGTGCGCGCTTACAAATAGAACAAATGTATCCAAACCAATCAATAACGTTATTGGAAACTAAAGTGTGTTACTATGTTCAAATGAAAATACAAGAGCTACTGACTTTAGAGTGTGGCCACGGGTTTGGCCATCACACCCCCC